TAATGAACTTTTGTATTTTATGCTTTATTCTCTAATAATATAAAAACCTCGTTTGGATGAATAGATGTGTGGTAAATACTTGAAACCTTGCTGATTTATCGAAGCATTTGACGCGAAATGATTTGAATGATTTAATACGATTCTAAACAAAAAAAAATTTTTTTAAATTAGCGCAGCGTTTCGTCTATTAATAAACCGCGAAAAATGGGATGGGCACTAAATAAAATTGCAGTTTCAAAACGCACATACGGACTACTCGATCTTCATTGTAGTCTTACGATTTACAAGTTGTATATACAAATCCATGAAATAATGTTAATTTATCATTAATAGACTTTCATGTAGTAATAGTAGTAGTGGTAGTAACAGTAGTAATAGAAGTAGTGATAGTGGTAAGTAGTAGTAATGGTAGAGTTGATAGAATAGCAATAGTTGGTACAATTCGCAAATACATTTTATGTAGAAGCTCGATGTTTGCGACTTCTTTGTATAATTTGTGTAAATATTGTTGTAAAAACTTTCGATATACACACGATTTGATTGGCAATGCACGACACCTGATTACCGCGCTTTATTTTACACGCCAAGAAAAAAAAAAAAAAAAAAAAAAAAAAAAAAAAAAAAAAAAAAAAAAAAAAAAAAAAAAATGAACGAAGCACTCGTGGTAAGGTTCTATATAATTAAATATAATTAAAAATTTTTCAATAACATAACTCAATTACATGACAATCGCTGTCTTTGTAGATGTTTCAGTGTAAATTCAAAATTTTCTTTGAAAAATACTATTATTCATGAATGAAGAAAATGAAAACTCTAATTTGAAGTACAATAATTTAAAATACAATAATCAATATTAGATTTTTTAAACGTTACGAAAAGTGAATAAGTGTCATTCAAAACGCAAAATCCGTTTAGAAAATAATGTAAATTTTACATGATTATTCTTCATACCACGGACGCAAAGCGATTAGCGATTGACCGTCACCAAACTCAGTGGTGACGATCACCATTTCTCAATTTCTCGTCATGAATGACTCATGTGCTTGCGGCGCTTCATATGCCTATATATACACCAAACATTGTACTGTTGCATTGTTGTTATCCATACATTTGGATCATAAGTATATTTAATAAATCAAAAAATCTCAATTTAACATGATCGTTTAATCGCGAAAAAGCAAGAGCGTACAAAAACTGTATTGCGCGCCTAATATCTCTGTGATGCATGTTGGGTGTACGTGATGGGAAAAAGCCCTTGAGGTTGGTTTATTTCCGATGGATTAGGATGCGGGGCTTCGGCTATGCATACTATTATTCAGGAAAACGTCTTCTTGCGCTCGCGTACCGCGAAATTATTATCATCATTATGTGCGTTTGGAATTGCACTTTCCTTGAATTGGGATTGCAGAGCTTTGGATTTCTCAGCTTCAGCTTTACGATAAATCAATGTCGTTTTGTTGTCGTTTCGTTGTGTAATGAATTTTACACGTGTTTTTGCCGGTTGAGAAAACCGCGATCGCATATAATCATTTTGCATTCGTATATAACATATACACATTTTTGGTACAGCAGTTGGTAAAAACGATTCCTTCGTTCTTATCTCCCATTTTTTCGTTTTATAATGCATTGAAATAATCAGTTAAACTCTGTTTCTTAATTTTCGTCGAAACGTTTTCATGAATATCGAGTCTAATACCTCTAGTGTCTATTTAACGCATTATTACCATCGGAAATATTTTATGACTCACTATATTCGAATCCAAAAAATACCAACGTAATACTGTAATCAGTATTTTCTGGAAAACATTATTATTCGTTACACTTTCCAAACATTGGCGCCTGGGATTGTAATTTAAATTAAAGTCGTTTCATCAATTCCATTAATAAGACGAGATACGCGAAACATTAAGCATTCAGTCAAACAAGTTTTGTTTTATCGTCTCAAGAATGCACGGTCAAACTCAACCCTTGAAATAATTTTTAATGATAATCGGCTTTTCGAGCGAGCAAGTTAGATAAGCTGACATGTTTTCCCGGAACAATAACATTTGATTACACAATATTATTGATTGTTTCAGTGGAAAAAAGTAGTTTTGTTTATAGCTTTAATTTAATCATACCTGTATTTAAAAATTTTTTAATGACAACAAAACTGCCAAGGACTGTCGGGGGAAGGTTGTTGAAAGAAAACAAAAGTCGACCAGCGGACACATGCTATATTATTGTACTGTAATATTACTTACTTTTAATGATTATTACTTACTAAGATTATATATTTATAGGTATGGCTACAGTAAAATTAGACAACACGACATAAATATGACAAACGACATAACAACGATCGATTCCACAGTTACACCGGTGTCTTTTTCTCATTCCATCTATATAAAATAATCTCTTGTTTCTTTTTTTTCCTCTTTCTTCATAATATATGTATTNAAAAAAAAAAAAAAAAAAAAAAAAAAAAAAAAAAAAAAAAAAAAAAAAAATGAGCCGCCCGCGAGGATCGTGTGCGAGCTGACAGACTCACCGGCAGGTATGTCGTAGAGCTCCTCGACGCCGCGCTGAGCGGGCGCCTTGGCGCTCTTGGGGGACGCGTCGTCCTGGTTATTCAGCGACGAGTTATCGTTGCTGTTGTTAGCGCTCGTGCTGTTAGCGTTGCCGTTGACCTGTTGCTGGCCACTGGTGGGCGCGACGACGCTCGTGTCCTCGCGGAGCGGCTGCATCGCGTCGTCTATGGCTGTAAAAGAAAATGCACAAACGAACGACAACAAAACAAACACACACACACACACACACCACACGCACAAACGTTTGCGCCATTTGGTGCTCGGATGGGGTGGAGGTAGGAGACTATAACGCGCCGCATCGCTGGACTATAATATGTTGCTGCGACCATGGATTTAGCTTTGTTTCATTTCTGATATATATATATATATATATATATATATATATATATATCGGTACGTCTGTGTGTTACAATGACGATTGCAAACGACACCTGTTGTTTTTTTCTCATTTTTTAATGATTATTTACAACAAAACACACAGTTACGTTGCAAGAGTGAAAATACGCGTAGGTGTTTTTCCAAGTGCAAACAAGAGAATCGTTACGGTTGTTATTAGTTGGCGTTTGAAAAGAGAGTTATCGAATAGAGTCAGGCAAACAAATCACAAAAAAAACACCGCATAGCTTTTTCGCTTCTCCTCGCATGTTTCGTTACGCGGACGGTTAATATACACGTATTTTTTTTTTTTTTTTTTTTTTTTATAGTTACCTGCCGACACGTGTTGAGGTTGCGTGTTGATGATGAGCCTGAAAATAAATGGCTATCGTTAGTTTACGTGTGCGTGCATTATTCATGATTTTTTCAAAAAAGTGTCAACGAGCGGTTCTGCGACACTGTATTGTCAACGATGATAATTGTATTCGATTGGGTGTACTAACGATGAATTTGCGTTAGGCGATTTGGGCGACTGGGGCGTCGAGTTCTTTTTGATCGTGTAGGATCCCCGCTGGCTTTCGTTGGCCAATTTGTCGACTAGAGCCTCGAGTTCTGCAAAAACCTGCAACGAATTCACGATGCGTTAGCGTCAACGCGATCTAAAATCGGCACCATCGCGAGAAGGAACTCAACAAGGAGGAGAGGAAAAAAAGTTTGATTTTACAAAAACTGCTTCGATCTCTTATTGTACGAATACATGTATTTATATGTATTTTTATGTAGATATTATATGTATATAAAAAAAAGATCATTCAAAAAATGTTTTCAACCCACTGACCAAGGTATCGGATATCAAGGGATCTTGCACGATCGATGTAAAGGAGGAGTAAAGATTTAATCAGTCAATGAGCGTTGAAAAAGTCGATTTTGTTTCTTGGCATACATTTGGAGAAGAAGGAAAAAATCTGATCAGGATCCAAAACGGACGGGGACGGGAGAGGAAAGGAAAAGAGAAAAAAAAAAAAAAAAAAGAGAGAGAGAGCAGCAGCAGTGTAAGTGTCGTCGATTGGCACAGACAGTGGCTAGCTTTAAGGCACTTTTAAAACGATCAACGCGCAATCGTTCCATCTCTTGTCTTTCGCACTAACATCGACAGCTTGACAATAACAATAATCATCAACATCGGTATCATCGTCGTTTGCTCCGTGCACTTGCTTTTTCCAGCTGCACCCGCTGATATAAGCTTATATACGTGTGTATACGTGTAAGAGCTTGTGGGTTCAGATTTACAAATGTATAAGTTACTCGGAGGAAATGAGCAATACAGGACATCTAACGGTACGCGTGTTGATGACAAAATGTCCCGGCAGCGGAGCAGTTTAACGTGGCAACGGCAGCGACGACTTTGGGACTCGGCGCATCGGCACAGCTCACAAGGGCTTCGTAAAGTTTGCCGGGAACATGCCCTTCTCGTTGGTACCCTCCTTCATTCCCATGAGCCAGCCTTCCTCCTGCAACCAAGGAATCACGCGCTACAGACTTCGCGCCTATTGGCTAAAATATTTTATTGGCTCTCTCGAATCAAGACGAATACACAAAAATATGATAATGGCCCCGGTGAGCGCAAAACTATTTCTAATCCATTATTCATACACGTTTCGAGCTGAGAGAGATGGGGGGGGGGGCAAACCTGTTCTTCCGGATCGTCGTACTCGACCACGCGGATGATCTCGCCGACTTCGAACGACAGCTCGTCCACGTCCTCGCAAGTGTACTTGTAGGTGGCCTTCACCCTGTAGAGCACACCCGGAGGTAGATTGTCGGTAGTCGCTCCTGCAGATAAATGGTTACCATTTTCATATTCCACGTCTAGAATGAGGAGTCAATTTGCCGCCATTAGGTTATTTTTTTGTTGATGTCGTCGTTCGCTGTTGTTATTGTGTTTATTGCAATTTTTTTAAAAATTGTTTTTTTTTTAAATATATATGTTAAAAAACAAAGAAATCAATACTTAATCAAATCGAGCGCAAGTTATACACACAAAGAGAGAGAGACAGAGAGAGAGAGAGAGCATTTTCTTACACGGTAAACATTTAAACATGCTTGTTGTGCTGTGCAAACTTGGCAGGCAAATTGCGCATACTTAGGCGAGAGATAAAGATGAATCGTCCCTCGTATGATCGGCAACTTGGACGAAGCGTGTGAACCTTTATCGCGGGCGACTGATTCAACCAGACCGATCCCAATTGTACGGGATCGATTTGATAAGTTTGAATGTACAGGTAGGCGAAGATAAAAAAAAAAAAAAAAAAAAAAAAAAAAAAAAAAAAAAAAAAAAAAATACAAAGTTCTGCTCCAGAAGTTTTTCAAAACGTCTATACATTTAAAAGCATAGTTGTAATATTCG